AGTGTTGACTGTGATATGAAAAAGAAACTAGAGTCCACTGGTCGTGGTACTGTGGATAGTGCATAGCAACATTTTAAACAATACACTCTATGCACCAGCAAAGAAGCTCCTGAGAATTCATGGCATGTTCTTAAATCTTGTTTCCAGAGAAACAAGTAGGAGCACATTTTTGTGGCACCTATAACAGTGATAGCAGTGGGAAAGCCTGCACTCCCATAATTGCAAAGGCAAGTAAAATGCTATGGAGACAAACAGTGGAGTCCCTGTCAGGAATAACACCTACATGCAGCAGTGCAAAGAATTCTAGAAAATAATATTGAAAGAATTAAAATACAGGATGAACAAGTACAAAATTCTCATTTAAGCACTAAGATAGCCCTATATGAGGTTGGAGTGTAGCTCAGAGGTAGAGCATATGCTGAGTGCTTACTCATATCTACAGTCTACAGCCAGCAAACAAATGTACCTGAAGCCATGGCATATAATCTAATCATGCTGATAAGTGGTACAATTTAGAAAGAAAATGCTTCTGTCACAGGATCCTCAAGCACAAAACTGCTGACATTTAGGTCAAGATTTCCTTCTAAAAAGCTCTGTCCCATTTGTTGTGTGACTGCACAACATCTTTGACCTCCACTCCCAAGATCCCTTGCCATGCCATTTATAGGTTTTCTCATGTGGAGAATGAGCATTGATGGAAATGACTGACAGCAGATGAGTGGACACAGCTCCTGAATGACTATGTACAAGAATGGACACAGACTCCAAGAGTTGCCAAAATTATCCTCTGCATGTTAAACACAGGCTCAATGAGTCTGTCCAAATTGCTCTCTTTTTGTCCTTGCACATCCTCTCCTTGTCCTTACCAGCAATGATACTTTTAGATTCATTAGTTTGAAAAGCTAGAACAACCTTCACTGTTTCATGCTATATAATGACACCCACAGGAAGCTACAGACAGACTAAAATGTGCCTTGAACCAAAGCTGGGGCTGATTCTCAGTTGTGCCAAAGGTTATTCCCATGGCAACCTGTAGTATACCCACATAGAATGGGGAGGCCTAGAGAACTCATGAGAATTTTAGGGATTACAGTCTCTTTTGACTTATGGAAAATGTGGGTTTCTGGTCATCTCTTTTCCAGGGATATATATGTCACTGTCAAGGGGAAAGAGCTTTGGAAGTCAAAGAATAGGACAGCTATGCCTTCAGCCCATCAGTGTTATAAAGTGGGCTTACATGAGCAGTTAAACTGGCATGGCAAGGCAGTTTACTCAAAGTTGAAATGGTTGGAAAGGTTTCCAAGACCAGCATGAATTAGGAATACAAATGGGAATGCTTTATCTTCAGCCAGGTGCAAGGTTGGTTGTTTGTGTTCAAACTGCTCATGATCATGTCTGATCATTGAAAATCTCTGCCCTATCCCCTTGTTGCAATCATGCAAGCCATACAGTGTGAACAGAGTGGGGCATCTCATAAGGATCATCATCATGGAAGCAACTCAAAGCAAAAACCCAGCCCAAAATTTATAGTATTCATTTTCCAAGACTACTCATTTATTCTCCTGATTCAGGTGTTTTTGGAGAAACTGATTAATACCACACTTAAAACAAGAATCTATACCATGAGTATCATCTTCAATAGAGACTTTAAGAGGGTATTTGTTTACCTTGTTTTGATCTGTTTTTTCCCTAAAATAAAGAAAGTATATATATACATGTAGAGATTCACACACAGGAAGCATTTCTAAATTATTAATGGGAACAGATTATATAATACACGATGTCATGAACAGATACTCTGAAGAAAAAGAGACACTAAGAAACCCAATGTAGCACTATGATATAATGTATCATGATATAAAATCTAGCAAAACTATTATTCACTCTTCAGAGTAATACTAGTCTAGTCTCTTGTGTTCAATTTCAGCATACATAAAGATAAAGACTGCTACTTCGAAGAGAATGACAGACATTATGGTATTCATTATTGACTCCCCCAAAATCAGATTTTGGAGACCTAAAAAGCCTTCATCATCCTGTAATGATTTGATTAGTTCTATAATGTTCAGTATATATCCAATGTGTGTCAAGATGGGGACAACTATTTGAAAGAAAACTAGAAAAAATAAGACAGACAGTGAAGATCTCCACTGGACTTGCTTAGAAATCTGTGTTTTTGAAAATTGTTTCCTTGTGAACTGTTTTGTTCTGTTTTGACATGTTTAATCTTACCGTCTTTAAGATAAAAACACAAGTGTGAAGGACTGATCACCATATTACTAAGTTTTAGTTGGATTATTGAGCAGAACTGTTTGCAGTGTCATTGTTTGAATATCACTTTGTATGCTTTAATTTTGTAACTTGAACTATTTCTAAGATGACAATATGTAACTTATCAACTAGTGATTTCTTACTGTTTATTTTTCTGAAATTCTGTATTATTTCTATCCTTTTTTCTGTTTTTTTTCTCTTCAAATTAAAAAGCAGCTGTTTGTATTTAAAAACATTAACAATTAGGCTAAGAACTATAGCTCTTACTACAGAGATCATGCCCTGGCTCCTTTCCACTCCTACACGTATCACACATATATGTCCATGTAAATGTCCCCAATTCAAGATGTCTCTCAATGTCAGGTTAATAAGTAGCCACATCTGGAAATTGTCTCTGGCAGGTACAATTTCCTCTTCACGTGCCAAGATTTTAATACCTAATACCTTTTCCTCTGCATTCTAACTGTGGCAGAACTTACTTAAACTGTCCAAATGTGAGTGGACCTACCATCTAAATAAATTTTTAAATTTCTTTGGCATTGCTCAATGTTTAACTCAGGAGTTCCCTGGGTGTTTGGCAGGTGCTCCTCAACTGGGACACAACAACACATTGTTTTGAATTCTCAGGATGTTTCTTAATACCTAGTATGTATTTATAAATGTAGTGGGGAGTGGAAGTTTAGATTACTACAAATGTTGAAAAGCAAAAGTTTGAGGGGGAGGATTGTGGGTATGAGAACCTGTGTCATAGATACTTATAACCTTCAGATCCTTATAACCTTCAGATCCTTATAACCTTCAGATCCTCTAGCTATGCTGTTTAGTGGAATGAAACGAGGGACTGAGCTTACCACCACTGCATCTACCTCCGGTTTGTATGTGAGCCTGGATCTCCCCAGGCTCCTACTCTGCCCAGAATGGTGCACATGCAAAAGTAGCAGTGAGTTTCTCAAGAAGTCATTTATGCTTGTTGTGTCACAGTGGGAAAAAGGACCTGAGATTTCAGAGCTGGTCTTGCTCCAACAATGTTATAGGCAGCTGAGTTAAATATAAATATAGATAGTTAGAGAGGGCTAGGCTTTCAAAGGTGCCAGTGCAGAAGACCAGACAGCTTACAACTATGTGGGTAACAAACACTTCCCTCAGTGAGCTAGGTCCCAAGACAAAAGAGAAAACAAACAGAACATTACCTTAAGTATAAACATCTGGGATGGATATTCTAAATAGATATCTATCACTTTGAAGAAGTCAAAAGGAGCCACTAATTCAACTCCTTACAACAAAGCCATGCTCCTCCTCTGTACCTTCCCTACTGGATCCCAATTTAATCAATTTTACCTGAGCATTTAGGTAATTTTATTGATGGACCATAATTCTGTCCAACCTCATGCCTCACTGAATTGCGAGTTCCCATTTTCACCCACCTTAGAATGGTTTCACTTTGTGGTTATGCACTGTAAAAATCCCTACAAAAAACAAGGTCTTCAGAACCCCATTGGACACCTCTTCTGTCTGCTTTTCTCTGGACCTCTCTCCCTCCCCCCTTCACTCTCTTTCTCTCTCTGACATGGTGTATTCAGCTAGCCTAGGGCTTAGTTGTGTCTAATATCACATTCACCCAACTTGGTACTGGGCATAGGGAAGCATCTTAAATCTCCAAGAGTATCTAGTGTGCTTCTTTATCTCTATCATGCTACAATCTTATCAGGACACAAGCTTTCTATCTCTCTTAACATCCAGTGTTCCTAAAATTCATTCTTTGATTTTAGAGAACACATACTTATAATGTTCATCCAGTAAGTTGAGTTTCCTTCCCTTATATCCGCAAAGGGAAAAAGAAAAAGAGAATGAATCAATGCCAATCAGACACTACATCAGGATCTGGCACTAATGTGGGGGACCCCAGGCAACACAGTTAGACATTTTTCCTCTTTGGTACAGGGATTCAAACTCATGACCTCATGCTTCTCAGGCAGGTGCTGTGCCTCTGAGCTATATCCCTGAACCTAAGGCATTACAGTTACTTTTGACTATTCTAATCAGACCTCTTTCAGATTCCACCCCATTTCAGAGCTCCCATCCCACAACATTACCATTGTGTAGTTTGAGGGTCTCCCAGGGCTTTTGCTATGCAGATTGTAAAAACCACAGAAAACATCCCATCCAGCTGGGGTCCTGTCAGTAATGTACTCCTGACAAGCACTTTGATGCCATGACACCAGAAGAGCCCTTGCCCTTGGCCTCCTCTGATTTGACAGATTATACAGTCTGCACCCTTTTCATTGATCAATTTCCACTCTATTGCCCTCTCTATGAGCCAAGGACAAAAAGAGAAACAAATATTTATCTCCAGAGTGTAACCCAAGTGGAAGATTGTAATGCAGAGATTTTTGGACCAGGTTCTCTTACAAAATGTTAATCTCATCTCACCTGAATAATAGTACTTGCATGTAAAGGCTTTAACCTGAGGTCTCAGAGATGAACCATATTCTAATAGGACTCTGGACTCTTCCTGAAAATGGACCATGAATGTCTTCAGAAGGTTCCAGGGTCAGCATTCTAGTAAAGACTCACTACTCTCATGTCAGAAAACAACCTGACTACAGGCCAGGCCAGGACAAAATAGAATAGGAGAGAATTGGTTGCTTGAGATATCAATATTGGGGAATGATCACCTAGCTTTGCTTTGAAGATTTTCACACTAGGTCTTTCCACTTATTAATTTTCAGCTATGGAAATGAATGTGTACCCGTGAAAGGAACATGGAACATTAGAGGTAACATTAAACTTTACTGCAGATTTTCATGTTTTTTTAAGAAATGCAATGTAGTGCATTTGGGAATATGGAGAGATATTTCAAAAGTTAACACTTTACTGTTATTTGAGTAAATCTCATGGATTTTCAGAAAACTTGTGGGTTTGAGTTGATGTACTCTACATAGTTATGAGAGTTTTAGTTGTCATTCAGTTTTACATCAATGGGACAAAATATACAAAACCTAAAACTTAAACAATGAGAAGTTTACCTTGTTGCACAGTATCAGTACATGATCTGCTAGTTGCAAGGCAGAAATAGAATTACAGAGTCTCATGGTGAAGAAAAATACTCTCAAACCATGCCATCTAGGAACCAGAGAAAGTTAGGGAAGCTGAACACAGAGGACATGTTTCCAGAACATGCCCCCGCCCCCAAGTGGCTCAGCTGTAACACAGCCCATCCTTTTCACAGGTTTTTCATATACTGAAATTATAAATAGATTAATCCACTGATGAGTACTGATTCCACACAATGAAATCAAATTTCAAACATTTAAAATATTTGAGACAGACACTTAACACTAAGTCTGCTGTTAGGAGCAAAACAAGACACCCAATAACAGAGTCATCCACAAAGAGACCTGAAACAGGAGGAAGGGCTCTCCCCTTGACTATCAGTATGCACTGCATAGGTTGGTGAGGAGGAGATTTAGGTTTAGGGTTAGGCTTAAGCACTGAGCTGCCAAAGATAGGATTGTGGCCCTGGTAGGTACCTCACTGGTGCTTAACAGGTTACTTAGGTCCCAGAAGCAATCTCAGTCTGAAGTAAAGGGCCACAAGAAACAAATGTGTATCAGTTCAGTGGCATGTAGGATGCAGTATTCCAACTGATGCTAAAAGGCCTGGTTATTGACAAGGCTGTTTCTGTTAACTTTCAGCTATGAATCTTGTCTTAACCACAAGCCTCACTCTTGTCATGGATCCCTTGGTAGTGCACAAGCATCCTTCTGGATTAAGACCCTCCCAGTACTTTTCCCATGCAGACACTGACATTGGAGCCCTCAAACAAGTCAGGATCAGCCCAGTCAGAAGGCACTCAGCACACAATGGCCATGGGTGCCTTACAAAGGAGGACCCACATCTCTGGCCAGTGTACCTGACCAGAGGGTTCACATAATACAAACTTCTTCATTGATGCCAGGCTGCTAAATTTCTTGTACAATGCGACAACAGGCACAATGGTCAGTGTTTTACCTGCATGTATGAAATTGAAATATTAGACTCTAATAAATCCTTGCCTATCTAGTCTTCTTCTATTAGACTCTAATCAACCCATCCCTGTCTAGTCTAGCTCTACCTTTGATAACCTCTTCCCTTGATGTTGCCTTGACCAACCTGAAGGATCATTGCCCTGAAGGAAATATTTTACAGTCCTTTACAGATGTTTGTGTCTTTTTACTGTTCCCATGGTGCTCTTCCTATATTTTTTCCTGAAAATTTGATCACAACAGAACTCCTGCAGTTCTCAACCTAAAGCCACTTGTAAAAAATCTCGAAACACCAATAATAAGGCTCAAGGCAAGAGTAGGACAATATGTAAAAGAAGGGAAGCACTAGTCCCTTTTGAAAGAACTGAGGTATTTTTAAATTAAAATCTATCAGATAAAATTCCAAACATTTCATAGGAAAGAATTGAACCATGTGTATACAAAATTAAAAAAAATGTATGGGGTTTTAAAATGCTTTTTCAGGGGCTGGGGATTTAGTTCAGTGTCTTAAGTGCTTGCCTGGCAGGTACAAGGTCATGAATTCATCCATAGCAACAAAACAAGAATGCTTTTTTAATGCTTAACTCTCTCAACAATTTTTATTTTAGAAAGATAATAGTGAAACAGTTGAAAACCTGGCACTGTCTGTTGGGTGCTGCTACAAGGAGGCCCTTTCCTCATGCACCCAGTGTGGGCAGAGTGATCTAGGAGAAGACCTGCCTCTGCCTACTGTGCACTGCCACTGGAGGGCCCTTTCTTCTGGAAGCCCAGCACAGGCAGAGAGAATGAGGAGAAGACCCACCTCTGCTTGCCAGGCAGTGCCACTGGAAGGCCCTTTCCTCTGTATCCCCAGCACAGGCAGAGATATCCAGGAGAAGACCCAAACCTGCCTGCTGGGTGTTGCCACTGAAAGGCCCTTTCCTCCACATGCCCAGTGGTGGCTGAAGGACACAGACAGATCCAGATCTGCCTGCTGTGTACTGCCACCAAAAGGCCACATTCTACAGGTGGCCAGTGGGCAGAGAGAACCAGCAGATCCATCTTCACCTTCAGGGAGCTGCCACCAGAAGGCTTCTTCCTGCAGGCAGCCAGCAGGAGCAGTGACATACAGAAAGGTAAGCTTTGTGCATCCATAGGCCACCATTTGAGCCCTGTGGTTTTCTCAGAGAGCCGTCATCCACTAGCAGAATCAGATAAACACACATGTGTGTCTACCATCGTGAGTAACCCTGTGTAGACACTCAGGGTGAGAGAAGTAGCCCCACTTACATGCACCACTGATCATCAGCAAAGCCCTAGTATACTAAAAGCTCTGGAGAATCCCACTATACAACCTACTAACTTCCTGCAAATCTGGAATTAAAGGAACCCAGGTGCCGTCCCCATCCACCTACACTACATGGGGCAGCTAATGTGCGAAGTTCCTGGAATCCCACAACCGGGAGGGTCAGAATGAGAGGCACAGTGTAGTTCCTTCTTTGATCACAACACTGATATGAAGCAAAACCTATCAACTGTAGAGTAAACCCTCAGTAGTATACTGCTCCTTCCTTATAGGTTGAAAAATTTTCTCTTCCAATTTATTATTTTACCACAGTAAGGTTATCACTGGAATCATTACATTTAGCCTTATTGTCAAATGCACTGGCTTGACAGATGCCTAGGAAAGTAGTGTAGGATGTCTGAGTGTAGGATGTCTGACTGAGGCAGAGAGGCATGAACTTACAAGTTACCTCCAGTCTCCAGTCCCTTCATTTCAGTTGCATTTCATCCTGAAGAATCCCCATTGGAATTTTGAAGACTGGCTATGGGAATCCACAAGTAACTGAAGACCAATAACCAAAGGCCATGACAAAAACCACTGCTTCTCTACCAGGAAAACATATCTCTCCACTGATTTTTATTCTATCTAGAATACAAGTTTATTGGATGATGCTAACCACAAACAGCATGAATCTTCTCTCCTTAGGTTGTGGCCTATATTCCACAAATATCAAGAGCTTTGCTAATCTGTTAAGTGGTTCCTACTCTAGTCAAGTGGACATAGGACAATTAATAATCCCAAATCACTAATGATTATATTTCTAGGCTCGCCCTACAAAGATTGTCTTCAGTCATCCAAATTACATTTTACCAGAAAAATGGTATGGAAAAGCCAATCATTTCCCAGTAGAAGCTCCATGGCCGTCCTTAGACTTGAGAAAAAACAACCCCCCCAAATCATCTGCTCATAAATCATCTGCTTTCCAAAACTCTCCACCTTTTCATGTCCAACAGTCATTTAAACTATGTGTGAATTAAAGTCTAATCATAATTTTACCTTATATAAAATGAGGGTGGTAAAAGCTCATCTTCCTATGACACAATTTGTAAAAAAGATGACCCAATGTGAATTGCCCATGTCTTCCTTTGCATTTGTGATTCCTTCAACATTCCACTTGAGAGTTGATGCAAAATTCCTGGTGCCTGAGTATTTTCATTTTGTCTTTAAGAAATACATGCTTTGCTTCCACATATCTACTGACTCATCCAGTCATTGCTATAATATATCATGAATATCTTATGTGTTCTTCTATTTTTCAAAAAGTGAAACTGCCCTAGTGTTGAATCTTCTTGAAGCTGAACCACATCATTAAATTTAAATCATCTGATTGAAGTGTGTTATTACAGGAACTGCAATGACATTTTAAGTGTTTATAGGCACATATTTATTACATGTATTATCAGTGCTCTATGAAACCACAAGAAATACAACACACATAGAGTACTACATTATTTGTTCATCGTCTAAGATTTGATCTTTGTATCTTTTGAGCAGGAGGGTTGAGATAGGGTCTTGCTATGAAGTGAAGGTTGACCTTGAACTCACTTATGTAATCTAGGCTGACCTTGAACTCACAACAACACTCCTGGCTCTGCTCCCAAGTGCTGGAATTAAAGAATGCAACACTGCACCTGGTTTTCCATGTACTTTTTATTTGTGCTATTAATCTTTTTGGTACCAGGAATCAAACACACAAGCTCACATTTTCCAGGTAAGTACATTACTGCTGTGCTATGTCCTTGGAAGTTTGCATACTTTAACGTTCCTGACATCTCTGAATTTAAAAAGGAATGAGAAAATGGCAAAAAGAAGAAGCAAAAGGATAGCTGTTATGCAGAACCAGAGGAGAGAATATAAGGATAATGAGAAAGAAGAGTGACAGAGAGGAAGTGCTCCTATGAAGTATAGATTTGACATCAAATATCTGAGGTAAGACATGTTGGGTGAGGCCTTTTTCATGATGTCCTTCTGGTCCTTGCTTTTGAGGATGAATGTAATGAGATATACTGGGCCCTTTAAAGAGATTATGATATTTCAAAACATTGAATGGAAGTAAACAACATAGAAAGAGCCAGAGTGCTTGGTGAGCACAGTGAGGTACACTATATGCATAAAGAAGGCCACCTGCTCTCCCTCAGTAGAGAGGATCTTTAACAGAGACCACAGTGATGACACTAGAAAACAAATGAACACTAAATAGCAATAACATCTCACACAGTATTGATCTCTCTTCAGTTTTACTTCATGTGGAAGAGAAATTCTTGGGCTATAATACATTCATACAATACAAGGTGGCATTATTATTTTTAACATACTTAATAATATTCAGACACTACATAAGATCATTTCAAATGTTTATAATGTCCAAGAGATATTATTTTATAAAACAAACAAGCAACTATTAAAAATCATTTTGTTAGGACATATAGGTCATATAAAACTTTCCTGCAATTTCAAATTTAAATATAATATTGTTTATAGTAAAGAGAAGTCACATACTGTAGGGGAGGAGAAGGTTTACAAATCTCATGTGTTTTCCTTTTTAAGAGCACATGGAAAGATGCAAGTATGGTCACATGAATTAGATGTGACATTGCAAATGGATGGCATTCTGTAGAGAGGCCACACTGACTCCATTTTGCCCCAGACACATCCAGCTGACAATGTTTTGAGAAAAAGCACAGGCCTTGAAACACTGCCCCATTTAAAGTTAAAAACATGAGGTCCTATAAAGAGAAGAAGCAAACAAGTTATACAACCTAAGTACATGCAACTTGAGTTTCTTCATTCTCTATCTCAATAAAAGCTGCTTACTTATACAGACTGGGTGGAAGATATTAGCTAAACACAATTTTAGAAATATGTAAAATTTCAAAACAATATTAGGAATGGGATGCTGGAAAATTAAAAGTTGGCAAGAAATTTATATGATAATTTTAAAATCCCAGTATAAATTTGTCTCCCAGTGCATTTACAAGTGATTGCTTGAAACTTTTAAGCTATTGGTGAAGCTATGCTGTGCCTGGTGACCCATTCAGGAACACTTCTGTTTCTCTGTGTCAGGTAGAAGCTTTCTTTCCTCAATAAATATAATCTGTTGTTAACCCCCAATGTTCCTAAAATTCATTCTTTGATTTAGAGAACACAAATTAACACCAGACATCTAGAAGTTTTAGGATTTCTTTTAGCTGTATCATTAGAAGGCTTTCCACAGAGGTCATTGGATGATGATATGTGGGAATCAAAGTCAAAATCTTGTACTCATTTATAATGCATTCTCAAGCACTGAAAGATGCTTGACACTTACATGCCTGAAAATGTGCAATTTGATGTTTTTCTGCACATGCACATGCCCTGCCTACCATCTAGAGACAGAATGGAATGCACAGGGAAGTGTTAATTATGATGTTCTTTTCAACTAAAATTACACTGTTAAAGGGATGAAAAATGTTCAGAAGCACCATATGTTCAAACTTTTTACATGATGAAAAAACTCATATTTGTGCTCTAAGGATAATTACAATTCATGGGAAACTACTCCTGTTCATATGACTTTTTCTCTCAATGACTTAAAGCAGATCAAGATAGGGGCTGGGGATTTAGCTCAGCGGCATAAGCACCTGCCTTGCAAGCAGGCGGTTGTGAGTTCGATCCCTGGTACCGATAAAAATGAAAAAGACAAAAAAAAAAAAAAAAAAAAAAAAAAAGCAGATCAAGATAGAAGTAGAAAAATTGGCAAATGACCCTGATAAATACATTGATGTCTTTACAGGATTTACCCAGACCTATAAGGTAGATTGGAAAGGTATAAAGTTAATCTTAAATCAATCACTGACTTCTAATGAGAGACTAAAAACATTACAAGCTGCAATTACATTTGGTAATAAACACCATAGTGTTATTTTTAAACATCCAGAAGACAGGCATCCAGGGGAACAACCAGTTTTCCCTGGAGTTTGAGCAGTCCTTACTCAAGACCCCTGCAGGACAAACAGCCACAAAACAGATTGGAGCCGAAAATGTTTTCAAGTATGTATTCTTGAAAGACTAGGAAGGACAAAAACCAAGCCTTCTAGTTATTTTACCTTGACATCTATTTATCAGGAGAAAGATGAAAACACCTCTGCCTTCTTGTATCCCTTACAAAAGGCACTGGTAAACATGTGTTCATGCTCTGAATTCAATAAAATGGGTTTTGTTTAAAGGCATGGTTATTGTCCAGACAGTACAGGCATTACAAAAGTTACAGGGCTGAGGCTTAGCTCAGTGGCATAAGTGCCTGTTTGGCAAAGATGAGGTCATGAGTTCGACCCCCAGTAGCCCCAAAAAGTTACAAAAGATAGACATTGCTATAATTAGTTCACTTGATAATTTAAGGAAACACTGCCTCCTTAGTATTTTATAATCAAGACTGGGAAAAAGGCAAGGAAAGAAAACAAAGATACTGAAAAGTTGCCTGCCTTTGTTGAGCCCTTAAGAATAACAAAATCTAAACCCAATTCTTAGCGTTCCAAGAAGAGCTCAATAGGTAGACTCAACTGGTAATTCTGAGGAAAGCCAGGCCATCTTTAGAGGGATGGTCTTAAGAGCATCCCTATCTTATTACCTGAATGAAAATGCATCCACTGAAATTGATATTGAACTCTGAGATGGAGGCCCCAGAGCTCAGACTCATCTTCCCAGAAGGTCTAACAAGACTAACAGACACAAGGCACTCTGCCTCTTCTTTCTGGCTGAGCTGTCATATTTACTTGTCTTCTCCTGGAGGAGCCCTAGATAATGATGACCTGAGAGAGAAAAAAGACCCAGCGTATTTCTGGACTTTGGCACTGGTCTCTTTGTCTTTCTGCAGCTCTGGCCATCTTCCCAGACATCTTATCTGAATAAAAAGAGTCACCAGAAGATGAATAACTCATTTAAGCTGTAAATGGGATGGCTTTCTTATTATATGTTTCTTTTTTAATTTGCCTAAAACTCTAAATTCCATCCTAGGGAGATATTATACCCAGTTTAAGTATGGCAATATATATACACAGGTTGCCAACTAATCAAATGTTTTATGGCTTACCAGATCTAATTCATTTCTTCTTCTTCATGGGTTCCTCCCAGCCTTAGCACATCTTCTGATGATTCACAGAAGGCCCTTACTACAAACGCAATAGATATTGTCGTTCATGAAAAATAAATTACAGTTTTTCATTGGCTAAAATAATGCAACAATTGTTATAATCTGGTTCTCACAAGTCATTAAAATTTTCAAAATAATATAACTAAAGCTATAGGGACATTGACAAAATAATAGATTCCATCAGGAAAGGGTTCTAAGAATCAGTGGTTTTGAATTGCTACTCTATTCCCTTAAAAACAAGTATGAGACTTACCTGTCACCTCTTTTTGTCACAGTTTCATTACACAAGCTCTAATTTCCCTAAATGTTTATTTATTTTTGCCTACATGGTGCAAAACCCCAAGGAATCATATAAATAAAACCAATGGCAATGTGCTAGATTACATTTACCAGAATCTGAAAAGTAAAAACTGTACAAGGAAAATTATTTTTGAACACCTGTGTTAGGGCTGGAAATTTAGCTCCGTGGCATAAGTACACCCTACAAGCATATTTGTGAGTTTGATCCCTGAAATAAAACAAAAACAAAGAATGAAATAAAAATAAAACCTGTGTTTTGTCTGAAACTACCTAGCTCTGTAAATACTTCATGCTCTGTAATTATATTCTTAAACACTGTAATGAAGAAGAATAATCAAACATGCAGTAGGTCACTTTGTAACTGATTATCATTAACCTAGTCTTGTATCTGATGATCTCTCTCTGCTAGCTAATCAGAAGAATTTCCACACTGTTTTGATTCACCTTTGTACCTCCTACTTATGCATCATATAAAAGCTCTAGACCATCAGAGATAGAGGCCTGATATTTTGGGAATGATCTCAATCAGTGCCCATCAATATTAAAGAAATCTGCCTCCAAATCCTGGGTGTAGTTTTGAAGGACAATTGAAATTTCAAGTAAAGCCCACTAAGAATACATGCCAAATCCCAGTGGGTGTGTTTGGGGCAACCCTGGTAAGAGAACAATCCTTTCTTTAGCTCCTGTTTTTATAGCCTTTGTGTGATCTCTGGCCTTGTAATGCTACTTGAGGTGACCTTACTGCCTTTTTATAACTGATAGTCTTATAATGTAACAACTTGAGCTTTCCAAACTCTTTCAGTAATCCAAGATGTATACCCAACTCTCCAATCACGTGTACTAAATCTAGCTATGTACATCTCCATTTGCTTTCCCTTTAAATTCCCTAAAACCCTCCTGGGCAAGGCTCTGGATTTTTAGGAATGATCCTACTCAGAGGCCCACCTAAGTAATAAACTGCCTCCTATAGATCCTCAGGACTATTTCTTGTGATATGTCATCTGTTTTCCATAACATTTCTTGGTTCCCTGACCAGGAACAAACTGTTAAAAAATAAGTCACAGGCTGAGGTCTGATGGCTGAAGCAGGAACCTCTCCTGGCTTCTTACTGGGATGGTGCACCCTCCAGTCTTTTTGGGTAGTGTCCTCTGAAACACAGACTGGAGGCCCATGCTTGGCACTATTGGCCTTCCTAGACCCACAAGAGGGGGAAAGGATACAGCTGGGTTATAATACAAGATAAAAGCACCCATGGTGTCCCAGTCAGTTTATTACTCAGTCTGCCTAGTGGTAGGCAGAAAGCAAACCTGATCATCTCATTATTTTAGGTCACCTGCTGGGGATGGCAGTTGGAATGTTTATTGTCTGAATACCTATAAAATGACTGTGTGAGTGTTTGTAATGATGGCAAAAGTAGAAAAGGCTTTTCTACCTATTCTCCATGGTGAAATATATCTTCAGAGATATGGAGCTTGGGGCCAACCAGTGACTCCATGGATGCATCTAATACGGACTGAACAGAGAACCTATTGAAAATTTTCCATAGTCTGGATGTTCACAACATTGATGAGAGGCAAGTGAGGAAGCAGGAACTGAATGGCTCTCTCTGAAGGGCAACTTCACTTTGTTGCACCACCATTCAATGATACACCACACACCTTGTGGGAGATAGAATGGGTGCCAGGTGGAGTAAACCCAAGATCTTACATTGTACAGGGAAAAACTTCAAAGGAAAATAACTGGATGACAAAACACTAAAAATTGAACCCCAGAAGTTCCAAAACTCGTGTGAGTCTGACTGGTTAAACCTGTGCATTGGTTTGCCACTTGAAGGAAGTCTCAATGTTGCAAACATTGGGTGAACCTGGGATGATGTAACAGACCCCAAGACTTGCTGACCTGACTCCTTCTCTTATATAAATTCTTGGCTTAACCTGTACCAAAACCTGCCATCATATCTACATTCTATGTGATAAATGAAAGATGCTGATCATCAAAACAAATCCCCAAGACTGCTTGCAAGTCTCTTAGGTCTACCTTAAAACAGAGAAGCTTTATCTGATCCTTCTGAAGATCCAGAACCTGAAGTGCCACCTCCTTACAAACTGGGGATCCAAAAACCAGCCAGCCTCAGTGGCCCCAGTATTCTTCCCAGGACCAAAAAAGAGCTGCAAGTTCCAAAAAAGAGCTCTTCTCTTCCAGACTCCTCATAACCCCAACAAACACAACCACAACCACTGCTGCAGCCACTGTAATATGGCACAGACATCATGACTTGAAATGTCACTGCCAGCACTCCTCCAAGAATCTGTAGTGCCACTGTTGTCCCCACCATGAATCATGTCTCGGGGCTCAAATTTATTTTCCTGTCCTCCAACTGTATCTTCTAGAGTTCCCTTGGAATAATCAGTTATCCCTAATTCTACAGGATTCATGCCACCTGCCAAAGCCTATGCTGAAATATTTCTCCCATTGTCTGAATGGCTGAATCTGTCATCTTTCCCATTCATTGCCCAGTCTATGCTCCCTGCAGCCCACATGGTGCCTCTGGCTACTATCCCATACTACACTATTTCAATGCCTATAAATACTGCAACACCTAAACCTCACAATGATTCTTTATCACATGCCTTCAATTTGGAGAAAAGACTGATGACCTTATCAACCATTGCCTCCACTCTTCCACTCAGCTTAGACTTTCAATTCATCTCCAATGGCCAATTTGTGTCTACCCTGGAGCCAAAAGAGGTGCATTTAACCAAGCCCTCCTTGGTTTATCATCAGCCATTATGTTAAATGGGTTCCATGAATTGGAAACACCATGACACATCCTACTTGGACATGACTGAACTTTCATCCATCTTCCAGTGTCATCTGCCCATATGGAATGACTGGGAAACCTCTTTTGACCCAGTTCAATACTGGATAATATCTCCACATTTTAGGCATGATCCAAGCATGTGTGAACTCAAGAGTCCCTCCTCATCATAAGTATCCACCACTGTGCTTGACCTTGTTGCTTGAGTGAATAATATCTTCCCCTGATAATGTCCACGTGGGGACTGCAATATAACAGGTCATGAGACCCTGGACCAAAACTGTACTCCTCTTCAGGTAGGCTCAAAATAGGGAGTGAAAAATCCAAAATCATTTCTAAAGATATAGAAGTTATTCAAGAGCCCACTGAAATTCTGGCAATTTTATTTTTAAGAGAATTTATGGCCTACAATGGGCTAAAACTTTTGATCCAGAGGCACCTCAAAATCCTCAAATTTACACAATTTCTGAGTGCCATAGGCTTTGGTCAAGTTTGGATACCAGGGATTACCAAAAAGTCTAAGCCTCTATAAGATGATGACAGGAAACAAAAATGAAAGACAATAAATATGCTGTCTATAGAACAGAGAGGGACCTTCTAGACCACTAAGAGATCACTGTTGGCTGCCCTGGCATTGGGCATTCCATATGTGTCAAGACCATTCAATTATTGCTGAATGAAGCCATGTTGCTTTAGGTGTCCTCACTCACAAAGTCAATTGTGGGAAACATCCATCACTGATTTGTGTAAATTCTGGACTCTATGGCACAAGGTTGGCCCCCTTGGCTAAAAACCTTGGCAGCTACCATGATCCTGGCCAAAGCAGCCAACAAACTTACTCTGGGACAAAACCTTAAATTCCAGGTTACACATGTTGTTATAGAGCCACTAAATAGGTAGGAACACTGCGGGATTTAAACAACTGAATTGCCAAATACCAGGGGTTGCTTTCTGAAAATCATTAAGTTGCTGTTTATCCGGTCAAGTCTCTACCCTCTGAGCTTGGTTTCCTAGACCATGACTCTTTCACCTTGATCAAAGAACTCTTTGCGAGCTGACCAGATCTCCAGGTGGTAACCTTTACTGATCTGAGTACACCATGTCCTCAGGGGGAATGCCAGATGGAAATGCCAGATGGAAAATGCCAGCCTGGATGTGCTCTACACCTGTCCTTAGACACTTACTCCAGACCCACCCAATGAAGGTATAGGGCAATGCCACCTGCATCCTGGGTTCCTCTGTGAAACCAAACATCTATGCTGTATAGATGTCCTCATTTCTACTTCAGGTGCCCTTTATGGAACTTTTAAAATTTGTTCTGGAGGGTGTCATTGGGTGTTTTCAAGTGCAGAAATGAGTCTCTGTGCCTTGGCCTATATCATGCCTGATTTCTTTGTTTACTCAGGCCTCACATAAGTTCACCAGCCCAGCCAAGTGTGATGTGGTGGTGTTGTCACACAATTATAATTTAAAAACATATTTATAAAATAGCAAATTTATACATATTTTATGGTCATTAAGAGGACTCTGATCCAGTTCTTATTATGCTGTTTCTCCTGAATCCAATTGACCTTCCAGTGTTTCGAGCTCAGCTGCATACCTCTGATGAGCACCTAATCAGAGAAATTATCTATACCTGAAGCCATCCAGACCTAGTCAAGAATGCTTTAGCTACACTAAATCTGTGACGGTCCCCTCCCCAAATGATTCTGTATTATTGTAATGACTTTCCCTATACTCACTTTGTAAGGACCCCTGTACTTCTTCCCAGAATGTTTCTATATTATGAGAAACTATTCCTTCATTCCAGCAAATCTGTTCGAGGGTAGCCTGCCTGTCAGTATACAGCTAAGATCATGTAACCAGTTATGTAACATCTTGTCATTTGCTTTGTAATACCCACTTCTAAAATCTATACAAACTAACCCATCTGTAAGCTTAGTGCTGCCATATTTGAGGAATTATCCACAACAGTCCACTGGCATGAAGGTTCATCAGTCTGCTGGTGTAAAAATGAAATCTTGCCTTATCTCCTCAGTGCAGACTCCTACCTTTGGTTTGTTTTGGTTTGGCTTGGCATGGGACTTTTCACATAACAGTGGTCTTGACAATCTCGGCTGGGATAGCAACAGTAGAGAATCTAATTCTTAGTGCCACTGCCATGGGCATGGACCAAAAATAGTCTTTGAAATTGGACTCCTAAATACAGGATGCTTTACAAGTGCAACAATCACTTGACGCACTCCAAGACAAAACTGATTCTTTGGCTGCAGTGGTCCTAAAAACCAGAGCTTAAATCTCACTGCTCAACAAGGAGACATTTACTTGTTCTTAGAGCAAGAATGCTGCTGTTATGCTAGTAAGTTGGGCATTGTTAGAGAAACTGCTCTGCAGTTGCAAGAGATAATAAAGAAGTGGGCTCCAGGAAGGCAGACAAACTCCTGTTGGTGGAGTTCAATTGGAAATTGGAGCTACATAGGGAGTTGGAGTTCTCGTAGTACCACTAAGAGACCTCCTCCTCATACTCTTAACAGGACTTTCCTCATGAAATTGGCTCACCTCTTTTATTACAAAATGAATTGATAATATTAGTTTGCAATTGATCATGAAGTCTGGTATGTCTCATACAGCCTTAAATGCCAATATCACTGAAATTCATATTTCTGATTAACTAAAAGTGGGGAAATGAATGCGAATTAAAACTTCAAATTAAAGTACACCAAGAGAACCTTCCAAATCACAGTGGTCATATCTGCGTGATCCTGATAACAGAAGATTCCTTTCCTTGTGTAACTCCTGTTTTTACTTCCTTGTGTGGCTGATGGGCTTATAGTATGACTTCAGGTGTCCTTACTGCCTTTGTGGATAGCCTTACAATGTAAATTGAGCTGTTCAGATGTCCACAGTAACCTATGATAGACACCTAGCCCCCCAGTAATACTTGCAAAATCTGCCTATGTACCTCCCTGCTTCCTTCACATTTAAAAGCTTCAAAACAGAGGCTCACAGGTATAATAAATTTCCTTCT